TGCCATGAGGTTGGAAATATTCCGATCGCTTGCTATTTTATGGTGGGCAACAGGATGGAGCGATCGTATTAAATAGAGGTAAGTGGTAGTAATCCCTATTATAAGAGGAATTTTAGCTTAAGTCGATGGTGTGATAACTGCAGTAGAACTCACTGATGCCTTAAATCTCTGCTCAGAGATTCAAGGTGAGATCGATCAGATGAGATCGATAAATTGTTTGCGTATATTTTGTTATTGATATTAAAAAAATATGGTGTGAGGTCAGTAATTTGTTTCAACCTTTTCGGACCTCATACACCATATAGTTCCCTTCTTGTCTTTCCAATTGTGAAGGTTTGATTGCGCTCCTTTCTTTTTCGCTTAATCCCTTATTTCTCCTAGTTTCCCTTACCATCGCATGTTTACTACCTCATCACAGTCACTTTCGCTTTGCTCTTTTGGGCGAGATAGGGGAACAGAAAATTTTCTTCATTGACTGCGACTATGTCCGCTTCTCCACCTCAGCACCAAATTCAAACAAACAAACACACACAGACAGACACACACCCACACGCACACACACGCACCCACACGCACGCACACACACACACAGACACACAACACACACACACTAGCGCGTTATATGAAGTAGGATTCTTATCCACCGTATCAGATATGAGTATAAATAAGACGTCCTGCAGTTTGCATGAATCTTCTGCCATGATTGCAGAGCCTGCCGGTGCCGATCGACCGAAGGGTTCAACCCCCAATGCTGGCCCTGCATCTCACCCAGATCCCACTCCCAGATCTGCTGCAGGAAACTCCACCGCTACTGCTACTCCTGCTCCTGCAGCCACTGCCAGATCTGATGCAGGAAACCCCACCGCTACTGCTGCTCCTGCTCCTGCAGCCACTGCCAGATCTGCTGCAGGAAGCTCCACCGCTACTGCTGCTCCTGCTCCTGCAGTGACACCATATGATCCATCGATATCGCCTGGAGTATCGACAGCTGTGGGGACGTCGCCATTGCCGGTGAGCGTAGGTATTCGAGTTTAGACCTCTTTGACTCTTTTGCAAATATGTTTCAGCAGGGTAACGCACCCAAAAAACCTAAGGGAGAAGCGGACAAACGAAGGAAACAGGTTGTGATAAAAAGAGAAAAACTAAAGGAGAATAGCCTGGTACAAAGCGATAATTTCACGTGAGTTTTTCACTTTAGTATGTTTAGAGTTGTACACGTTCCTAGGGCGGAATACTTACGTCCAATGGGTCTGTTTTAGATGGAAAGTGATCAAACTCCTAGGATCTGGAGGATTTGGTGATGTTTATCAGGTTGTTAAAGAAAAAAATAACGACAAAAAGGCAAGTACAAAACTCGATAGCGATTTTCTAGGATACTGGACTGCATATCAGTGATTATCCGACGAGTAGTTAAGCTCTAAAGTGATGCGGCAATTATGAGCACTGGTGATATGTACCCAACTCCCTCTTTTCGCAACCGGTCACCGATTCCAGCTCTGATAAATGGCATATGCTTATCAGAGACGTTCGTAAGAATTCAGTACGAAAGTAGAATGGGAACGGGATCAGCAGTAGTTCATCCATATGAAAGAAATGAGGCAACTGATCGAAAACAGCCAGTTCCACTTTCCAGTTGATTCTGCAAAGTGTAAGAGCTTCGAGAATT